TCAGACTACCGATATGTAACCGCCCCGCTGACCAATTGACAAATTGGGCATGAAATTAACAATTCTGCAAGATGCACCTTTCTTCATCATAAATATATATTTACATCCACTGAATATTTTCTCCTTTATTTCTTAAGAAACCATATTGCTTTCATCACTGCATAAACTACAGTAGGCATGTTGCCTGTACAGATTTCTTAATCAGTGGCTGTTCCATCAATGAAACGTATAAGGTTGTTCGCATCATTAATATAATAATTAATCTTTTTAATCCTACTTTAAATGATTATTTGAACAGATATAAATATAAACAATAAAATGTCTTTCTTTGGTTGTTAGTATGGGATGAATGTCGCAGCTATTGCAGAAAAAATTTACATAACCCGCGTAAGCAACAGCTGCGACATTAATTCCCATACCAACAACCAAAGAAAGCATTTTATTGTTTAAATAACTTATATCATTGATTGGCATAATACCCAGGAGCAAAGGAAAAAGATTTTCAAAGAATTAATATATTATTGATATAATCTTCAAGAGAACCCCCTCTCTTACACCAAATGGAAAATCTCCTGACCGAGGGGTCATGAAATTCACAAATTTGGTTGAAGGACTCTTGCTCATTATCAGACGCGGATCCAGAACTTTTTCCCAAGGGGGGTGGGGGGGGGGGGGTTCCACCCCTGTCAAAAAAAAAAAAAAATTTCAACCCAGAAAATCCTATTTCGTTGGGGGGGGGGGGGGGGGTGACTTTTAATGCTTCAAAATCTTTTACTTTTCAGACCATTTTAATACAACTTCACATTTACTAGGGGGGTCTGCATTTTCTGAGGGGGGGGGGGGGTTCAAGTTACCTTTTTCATTGCTTTTGTATATATAAAGCTGACCCCCCTCTAGATCCGCCCATGATTATAATTATATAAAGTTAGCTTAGTAAGTTTACCTAATTTCCGGAGCAGAGAAGAAGATTTTAAAGATTTAATGTATTTTCACTATAATAATCCATAGAGCCCTGTCCTAATACCAGAACCCATGACCCTTTGGCCATAAAATTCACAATTTTTGAAGAGGCACTCTTGCTCATCACAACTATGTACATAGTTAGTTTATTTAATACCCAGAAGCAGAGAAAAAGATTTTTCAAAGAATTAATGCATTTTCACTATATAATCAATAGAGCCCTGCCCTCACCACAACCCCTGACCCTGGGGCCATGAAATTCACAATTTTGGAAGAGGCACTCCTGCTCATCATAACTGTGTACTTACTGTATACAGGGTTATTTTCGCCCTTCTGCACTTGCAAACTATTTTGCTCCGTTTTAAATTTGCCCAGTTATAGTTTTGTATAAGAAATTGTGTAGTGAAATTTGAATTTACAACGTTTTAAATTCGCCCAATCAGGAAGAGGGCGAACGGGCAAAAATTAGACGGGTGCTAAAATTTCTCTGTATACAGTATACATAGTTAGTTTATTTAATACACAAGAGCAGAAAAGAAGATTTTCAAAGACTTAATGCATTTTTGCTATATAATCATTAATAGATCCCTGCCCTAACACCAGAACCCCTGTCCCTGGGGCCGTATAATTCACAATTTTGGAAGAGACACTCTGACTTGCTCATTATAACTATGAACTAAGTTAGTTTATCTAATATCCAGGAGCAGAGAAGATTTTTCAAAGAATTGTTGCTTTCAAGGCACTCTTGCTCATCATAACTATGTGCTTGGTTAGTTTATTTAATACCCAGGAGCAGTGAAGAAGATTTTTCAAAGAATAAATACATTTTCACTATATAATCTATATAGCCCCACCCTAGCACTAGAACCTTTGACCCTGGGGCCATGAATTTCAAAATTTTGGTAGAGGACTCAATGCTCATTACATTCATGTCAACAGTTTGATTGTTTGATGTCAAGGGGTAAAGAAGATTTTTAAAGATTGCATTAATTTTATAAGTTTTGGCCCCAACCCCCAAGGGGCAAGGACCATGAAATTCCTAATTTTTTTTCCCCCTTCACCAATAGATGATGTATACCAAATTTGGTTGAAATTGGTTCAGTGCTTTCAAATAAGAAGCAGAGAATGTTCAAATGTCAACACATGACACATGATGATGGACTTAAACAGATAGCAATGGGTCACCTGAGTGACTCAGGTGACCTAAAAATGTATAAATGTTCAACCTTCATAATCTTAATTAACACTGCAATTATGAATGGTTTCTTTAAATTTTTATTTCGTTAAAACATAAAAAAAAGAAACAGTCAAAAAAGGTCCCACTAATGCCTAACAAAGGACTTGGAGATAAACATTCTGGTATACATTCACACAGGGTGAAATTACCCTAAAAATTATAGCACTTTCTGATATTCAGATAAAGTAAATAAAAAAAAGAAAAATTATAATGAAACCAATGTTTGTATCTGGCATTTTGCAGTATACCCTTTTCTATACTTACATGGCGTTTTAGTGTTCCTCATTGTTTCGTAAAATCTTAGACATTCCTTTGGCCTTGTCATCTGAAAATACACATAGTTTGATTATATAAATAGAAACAATTCTTCAGTAACTAAAAGGAATATTCAATAAAAAGTATTATTTTGCTAAAGAAAGTTAGAGTATATTTTCATTCTGATTTATTTTAGAGGAGGGGGGGGGGGGGTGTTGGTTGGTTGGTTGTGAAGTCAGAACATTGTACCTGCTGACTTCTTTGTACATGTGAATGTAAATACTGTGAACCAACTTTTATTCGTGACGACTTTATTTCGCGATTTACCAGGAGTAAAGTAGTAATCGAAGATTAATTTTCGCGATCAAGCCTTTTTGAACTGTTTTTAATAGAAAAGGAGAAGGTAAGGACCCATCCGCGGCCAGAAATATTCGCGATGACGAGGCTCTCATGAATCTGAATCTTGCAAAAATTTCTTGCACGCGAATAAAAGTTGGTTAACAGTACTCAGTACATGTTCATATTTAGTTACCTCAGAATTCAGATACTTTTGCATGAATGAATTCTAAACAGCAGTACACTTAGTACATGTAAAATATATAGAATATATAATATATTATCATCTATACACACCTCTGAAGAATTCAGATACTGTCGAATGAATGAATTGTACACGGCAGGGGACTTCTCTGCTTCGAACAAGAACAAATCGTTCAGAACACTATCTAATCTGTAAATATGAAAAATTACAGTGACAACTCACATAGATTTCTAAGGCGATAAAATAAAAACAACAAAAAAAAATTGATTTTATTTATTCATTCATGAAACATTGTGGGTAGGTCAGCTTTAAGGCTAGATGTGTGTTTTTCCCTTGACTTTTATTATTAGACAGCTCAAAAAACTCTCTTTCCTTCAGGTCTTTTTCTTACTAGACATTTCTCTTCTCAAAATAATGGCAAGTAATTTTCTGATTTGAATTTATCCTTTCAAACTTACAACAAGCGGTTTTTTCTTCAGATATCATATATGTATGCATATCTTTGTAATATATGAAAAAAAAATATTTCAAATTATTATCATGTGATTTCTACACTAGTTTCTAATTATTATTAAAAATTTACAATCCTAAAATTTTGGGCTTTGGCAATTTATATACATGATATTGGCAACACCATTTAATGGCAAAATCTTGGAAAAAATATGTTATTTAGTAATGTATTGTCTGTCCTTAATTTATTCTTTCAAACTTACAGCAAGTATTTTTCCCCCTCTTAAATTTATCCTTTCAAACTTATGCCAAGTATTTTTCCCTCTTTAATTTATCCCTTCAAACTTATGACAAGTATTTTTCCCTTTTTAATTTAACTCTTCAAACTTACGGCAAGTATTTTCCCCTCTTTACTTTATTATTTCAAACTTACAGCAAGTATTTTCCTTTTTAATTAATCCTTTCAAACTTACAGTAAGTATTTTCCCCCTCTTAAATTTGTCCCTTCAAACTTACGGTACGTATTTCCCCCCTCTTTAATTTGTCCCTTAAAACTTACGGTTAGTATTTTCCCCCTCTTTAATTTATTCTTTCAAACTTATGCCAAGTATTTTTCCCTCTTTAATTTATCCCTTCAAACTTACGGCAAGTATTTTTCCCTTTTAAATTTATCCCTTCAAACTTACGGCAAGTATTTTCCCCCTCTTTACTTTATTATTTCAAACTTACGGCAAGTATTTTCCTTTTAAATTAATCCTTTCAAACTTACAGTAAGTATTTTCCCCCTCTTAAATTTGTACCTTCAAACTTACGGTACGTATTTCCCCCCTCTTTAATTTGTCCCTTACAACTTATGATAAGTATTTTCCCCCTCTTTAATTTATTCTTTCAAACTTGCGGTAAACTTACGGTAAGTATTTTTCGGCTTTGACTTTATCCATGAGTTCGATCTCCTCTGGCTCGGTAGCAGTGTGGTCTCTCTGGTAATAAAAGCTGAGGAAATGAATCAAACGTTCTATTGTCTCTCCAGACAGTGTATTCCCTGAAATAAGCCGATTTATTTAATATCTCATTATGGAAAGCTTCACGAAAAAATATGACAACGTCCTTTATACAGTCAAGCCTCATTATCCATGGGTCTGAAGGTAACTTAAAGAAATCAAACTGTGTAAGATACTGAAGTTTTCATTCAAATGACTGGGACCTCCAACACACTTCAAATATCCATAGTATTTAACATACTCATGTTTGAGATACTGAAGTTAATCTGACTACTTTTTTGTGACACATTTACAATTGATATAAGGATAGAACACTTCTTCACCTTCTGGAATCATTTTATGGCAAAGTGCCAACACCTTCTCTACATCTCTTTGTTCCATCTGCTCTTTAATTGCTTCCTCTAAATTATCTTCACTTTCTTTAGTCACAACAGGATCAAATACCTGTGAATTTAAAGATAAACTAAAAAAAAAAATATATATGAACAGTGCATGGTATTAAGTTAATTTTTTTTCTGAAGAGTAAAGATTAAATGACTTAAGTTTAGCTTCACCATATTTTCTCAGTTATCAAGCAAATGAGCAGAGGTCAAGATTTCTCATTGCTAATCATGCTAATTGTCTGTGCTGCCATCTTGAATCATATACAGTAAAACAAACTTACTGTATAACAAAATGCCAGGGATGGACAATTTTGCTTCTTTATAAAAGGAATTATTATTTGTTATATCGTATAAGTGGACATTTTAGTGAGAAGAAAATTTAGCGATTTCTCCTTAAAAACTTGTATTAATTCTAAGCAAGAAGTAATTTTAGCTATTTCAAAATACTCATTAAAAAAGCTGGTACAGATAAGAAGTGATTTATTTTTATTGATTTTCAATTTTAGCCATCTTTACAGCATCACTGATAATGCCAAAATTAAATCCTCGCTAAAATTTCTACCTATACGGTATCCATCAAGTTATAAATTCCTAGTAAAGTCACAGGGAATGAAAACCACTTTGCCGTGAGGGCAACTTCATTTTAGGTGTGTTAGCTATATCTGTGTTTTACTGTATACCAAAGTTTCGCAAGCTCAGATAAAAAACTCTCAGACTCTGAGCGAGTTCTGTCTTGAATTAGTAAATAGTTATACAGGAACTGACTCTGGATTAAAAATAAAATAGTGTCAGTAGGTAAATATAGGTTAGAAAATCTTTTTTCTCAGAAAATTAAAAAATTTGCTGTCAGAAGGAATTCAATAATAAAAAGAAAAAAATCTGAATTCCTAGATGTTAAAAATAAATTTGTGTCAGGCCATTTTTAGCAAGTCTGGGAGAGGGCAACTTTTTTTTTGTTATTTGTAAAAAAAATGGCCTAAAGAGTTCTCTTTCCAATGTCCCATTTGTACTAGATCTCATGGTCAGTGTCACACACAATCTCACCTTAGTTGGGGGTTCCACAGGTACATGAGCGGGTGTCCCCTCAAACACCTGGGGGTACATACTCATCATCATTCTGGCTGCTTTCCTCCCTGACGCCGTAGAGAGCATCATTTCTGCCTGAAAAGTATAATCAACATCAAAAAAATTAATAAAGATGTAAATATAAATTATACAGCTTATCACAAGTTAAGTACAGTGAACCCTCAGTTATCCGGACAAAAGATATCCGGATGCTTCAGTATCCGGACGATTTTTCATTGGAACAAAATTTTCAAATGTTGTTTTCTCTTGTTTGACTGGTGATTCAGATATCCAGATGCTTCACATATCCGGACAAATTGACTGGGAACCAAAGCGTCCGGATAAATGAGGGTCCACTGTATTTTGAAAGTCTTTTTAAGACAGTTTGGTTTAAACGTATTTGAAAAGTCAGCATCACTCATTGTTTTGAGTGTACAACTACTGATTACATGTGATATATAATGTTTGCCCAACCTAATTTATTGGACTTTTCATCTCATTCTTCGTAATTCTATTTGTCGTTTGTAAAAGGTTCGAATGACAAATAAAATTATGAACAGCGAGATGAAAGGTCTAATTTTAAGAAGACTGAATGTTTGCCCTATTTCATTCATCCCTCAATCAACTATGCTCCAAAGATGAAATTGTGATGAAAATAAATTTTTGACAAATCAGATATTTTAGCTAATACTATGATACATGCTCAAAAAGGAAAAATATTCATTGATCTACATGCATAAAACATGTATATGCCTTTTAAGTGCTATGTTGCATTACTGGCATGCAATATTTAATTACTTAATACAAACAAATGTGGTCATTGTAGCGTTCATGTCTTTTACATATGTCAGTACCTTATTAAACTGGCGATGGTAACAGGCTGGGTCATCAATGGAAAACTTCCCATAACTTCGACATTCCTTAAAAGTTAAACGTACACATGATACATGTAAAATTAAGAGTTATTCGTGTAGCCAAGCATAAGTCACCAAAAATCTATAAATTTTAATGAAAACTTCTTTAAAAAATGAGAAATATGTAAGATGGTTGATATTTCTGTATCTAATAAATTACATACATGGCCAACGCTTTCTTCCAGAGCTTCCAACAAAGCTGTTGGGGACCTGAAAAAAAGGAAGATGTACAGTGCCACAAGTATGGTACTCGTGAAATGCAAGATTTGTAACATATTCACAATAGTCTGAAACTGGGTCAAAATATTGAATAGGTAGAAGAAAATGATGATATTTGTAACAAGAAATCTGTGAGCTAATACTCACTTAGTAATACCCCCGCTCTGATGTAAATAAGCACTATCATGTTAATACACACAAGTTCATTTACAGGCAGATGCATAGAAAAATATGAAATTGACATCAGATTCATATCAAAATTAATCCCACCATAATAGCATGCCTCAACAAAGAGTGTAATAAAATTTCAAGCATCCGCTATGAATAGCTAATGAGAAAACTGCGACAAAGATTTGTTATGTATGAAACGGACAAACACACAGACAAACAGGAAGTTGATATCCGATTTGAGTGAAAATGTATCCTACCATATGGCATGCAATACAGAAGATTGTGTTAAATTTCGAGCATCTACGATGAGTAGTTGCTGAGAAAACTGCGACGAAAATTTGTTATGTATGAAACGGACAGACGCACAGACAAACAGGAAGTTAAAATGGGATTTGAGTGAAAATGTATCCCACCATATGGCATGCCTCAGAGAAGATTGTGTTAAAATTTCAAGCATCTAAGATGAGTAGTTGCTGAGAAAACTGCGACGAAAATTTGTTATGTATGAAAAAGACAGATGCACAGACAAACAGGAAGTTAACATCCGATTTGATCGAAAATGTATCCCACCATATGGCATGCTCAGAGAAGATTGTGTTAAAATTTCAAGCATCTACGATGAGTAGATGCTGAAAAAACTGCGACAAAGATTTGTTATGTATGAAACTGACAGACGAACAGACAAACAGGAAGTTGGCATCAAATTTGAGCAAAAATGTATCCCACCATATGGCATGCCTCAGAAAAGATTGTGTTAAAATTTCAAGCATCTACAATGAGTAGTTGCTGAGAAAAATGCGACGAAAATTTGTTACGGACGGACACACAGACACACGGACAGCTGGACAGACAGACACACAAGGGTAAAACAGTACATCCCCCTCTCCTTCGGAGCGGGGGTATAATAATGGCAGTATACTGATACATAGTGAGGCTTAAATATAGAGGGCACCAAGTGACCAAGTCTCTGCACAATCAATCTATACCCTAAGTATTAAAGTCACTCATTTAGAATACACTTGTAAGAGAACATTCTTTAAAACATTTAGTGACTGTAAATATTAAAATTTTATAATCAGGATACATGAACTTGCATGATCACCTCTGTTAAAGATTTAAATAACAGCAAAATTGAAAATTTGTCTTGAACACTTATGATGACTGATCTGTTTATAATGTAATTACATGTACCTGTTTATCTTCTTGGGGCCATAGATTTTTGGATATGTGTCTGGAAAAAATTTTAAAAAAATATTTAGCAGGTTTAACAATAATTTTACATTCCAAACTATAAGAACAAAAATTCTGAAACAGCGGTTTAATTTTTTCTCAACATTTTACATGGTTCACAAGTTTTAACTAGTATAGTCCAATCCACACTTTGACTTTGCAAAAGTTGTTTCCCTTTGCAGTGTCAACCAAAAGGTCAAAAGGAAAAGAATCATCATTTCTCCTCTTTATACTACCAAATATTTTGGCTTGCTGTGATAAATCTATTGTGTTTAATTTTTTTTCTTTCGATGTGTGGGCAATCAGTACACAAAAGGCAGAGCTTTTTTAAAGTCAAATGACGAAGTTACAAACCAGAAAACTACATAGGCTACTTTGTGGATTGTATGGGTATATCCCCTAAGATGGTGGCCAAGGGACATAACTTTTAAAAAGTGTGGATTAGACTATTCAGAGTTTCCCAAAACTATCAGTCCTACCGGCAAAACCGATAGAAAATCGAAATGTCCGATGAAATTCGCTACAGTACCAGTCCGTGTGACCGATTGTGGTGAGCGCTTGTCCTGATTAATTTATTGTGCTCTAATGTATTGCAATATCTTCATAAATGTAAATCTGCAATGCAGTAAGCTCCTATTCTTTGTTAATATCCATAATCTTATCCATTTTGCAGTTCTACTTGACTTATTTACTTCCAAAAATGATCGTTTTTTCCTAATCCGAATTTCCTCCATTCCTCTGTTGGTAAACGCATGCAGTATATATAGGTCGAAAAGTGCAATGCCCACTAAGAAAACGTAAAGTTAATTTAAAATTTATTTCTAATTTCATAACTGCTATTTATATATGATTCAATTTTACAAGTGAGAATTAAACTTTAAATTTTAAAAAGAATTCTAGAAACCTTCATCGTCGGAAACCCACAGGTGATCTCGTCTTTACTTATGTAAAGACGAGATCACCCGTGGGTTTCCGACGATGGAAACCTTGAGAAGTTTTTTTTCTCAAGAATTCACTTTTTTTATAATTAGTTGTTTCTTTCACCCAACATATACATAGGGCTAGTCACTTTATTGCTGCCACAAGCCTGTGTGAGCTGGTGCTATGCTTGAATAAATTATACATGTAGTTGCATAACCCTGGTATCACAATCAATGTTTGTCCACAAAATTTTTTACTTATTCAATGCCTTTTTCTTTGAATTACATTTGTCATGAAATATACACTGTATATTTAAAAATTTATTTGGACTGATAGAATATGCTTCGGACCGGTAGAACACATTGAGTCATCGGTCCGAATGATTGATAGAAATATTTGATTTTCGGAAACTCTGACTATTATCATTTCTTTAAATTGGTATTAATTTCAGTTGAATATAAGAGATTGCTCTTACCTCTGGGATTGGAACTTTGTAGTTGAGAGCAGGATAAACATGGAATTAACTGTAGCCTGAGATGACAAACATCAAAATTAATTTTTAAATGCAACACAAAAATTTGTTGAGGAAATTCGAGTAAATAAGTTTTCAAATATAAGACACCCTCTACGATTTACCTATTTGGATTTTGTGCAAAAAACAAAAGTTACTTTTACGTGTCTTCACTGCAGTGATGACTTTAAATCGAATTATATTGAACACTTTTTCCCCCGTGTGGGTGAAACAAAATTCTAAGGAAATTCGAAATGAAGGGTGCATGCCGATTGTTTTGATGGTATGATCATGTTAAACAAAGTTGGGAAGTGTTTAAAAAATATATCTTGGTATGCAAAATTTACCTTTGTAACTGCTTTGCTTTAAAAATCAGCTTTGGACCTCTTAAACATGTTCCCATGTTGAAGAAAAAAAATAAAATTTCCAAAGCTGAAAACAGACACTGACATATATCAACGTCAGAGAAACGCTTTAATTCAGAACTTCGAACCCGACTTCTTTGTATATCATTCACTGCTTGCTCGGGATTGATTGCTTGTGACTGTTGATACTGTTTTATTAAATGTAATATCACAGATTTTAGAACCGGCCATTCTATTTTAGTTTTGGAGTCTTTATACGTCTACAGGATCATTTAGAAAAGTTTTTCTCGCAAATAATTTGTGTAAACATTTTCATTTCGAACCAGGAAGTATATTTGATCGAAAAGGAAGTTGTTATATACTGCGTCAAGTTTTCTCAACTTCCAAAGTTTGGAGTCATGAAGTAACAGTTCCTAAACAGAGAAAATTGTAAGTATCGGTAAAATTTTAGTTTGGTTTTGTGTGATTATTTGTGAAATGTACTTAGAATATTTAAGTATATCAGAAATTCAGAATCATAAGTATGTACATATGATTAAAAACAATCTAAATAAAGCAAGGACATTCTTAACGATTGACCTGGTAGTCAAATGAGAGAGAGAGAGAGAGAGAGATGTGATTTTTAAAAAGAATTTTACATAACCATGATTAAATGAATATATTTATCATATATGATTAATATGTTTATACATCATGCTAATCATGCAGTCTTAATTAACATTAATATACATTCACTACTATTAATATTTACGATGGCTTCATGATCATTGATGATTGTTAGCAATTTTTTTCTCAGGCGAGTTATACTGCTAATAACTTACTACAATAAATGTTTATTTCTTGAATTTAATCATGTTAATTTAAATATAAATTTAATTTACACTGATTTAATGAATTCATGCATATAAATAAAATATGTTGTTTGAAAGTCGCTGAACATGCTAAAATTGGGATGAAACCAAGATTGATATTTAAATATCTTGGAAAAGAGTGTGCATATTTATTTCTTCTTGACATTAGTTTTTAAACTTAAAAGTATGAATTAATTAATGTTCCTCTCTTAAGCCCTTTTCATCAGATCATGCTATTTAACTTTAAAGTATCATTGGATATATTATTGATTTCATATATTCTGTGAAATTGTGAATTTATGGGAGAGGACTATCTAAGTTTTAGGAACTTCTGTCCAATCCCTCTGACAAGTTCAATGTCAATAAACAAAAGATAAAATACATGTATAACACTGTTTAAGGGCTATAAAAGTCACAAAATTTAAATCTTTTATATAAAATTTTTAAAATATCTAAAAAATTTATTTCATGTTAAACTGAGATAGCTAGCATAATAAAACATGTTTAATACTGCTTTGGCAGGCTTCATGGTATTATATAATTCCCCATTATTAATATGTTTTACGGTGTGACCGTTGGGACGAGCGCAGTTTATTTACTATCATAAACCTACACATGTACTGTCTATCATTCAAGAAAAAGAAAGCAAAAAGAATAAAACAAAACAATAAAAAGAAATCATTTCCCAAGCATCGGGATCGAGATTCCAAACTTCTCGGAAGTTTCCGACAAAATCAGAAATACCCGAACCGTTGAAGTGACGAAAGGATGACGTCAGATAAAAAGTTCTGTTGACTTAGTTGACGCTAGTTTTATGGAAAAGAGATTGTATTAAATCGTTCTTTTCAAGTAAGTTGTTGCTATGTTTTAGCCACCATGTTTCTATGCACCGCAACATGTTTTCCGAGTTTCACGGAAGCAACCGACATAACTTCGTCTAAATTCGTAAGTTTCTGGTGACGTCATTTGTATCATTTCCGAAGGGCAAGGTGAAGGCCGGTGTTGTGGCATGGGGGTATTTTTTTTAATAAGGTAAGGCAAAATCATTTCGTTAAGATTTCGGTAAGAAACAATGTTCCTTTAATTTTTTTAACTATTTTTGATTTATTCGCGCAAAGGACATTGGGTAGTACAGGAATTCTGGGAATGTTGCACAGAGAAATTTGGCTGACGTATGTACAGATTTCAATCCGAATTTCCTCTGTTCATACACGTTAGTCTATTGAGCTCGCTTCGCGACGCTCGCTGCGCTCGCTATAAATATATCTCCTTGATCAGTATTTGGTAGCTAGGTCATACTTGAACATTATATAATAGAAGAGAAAAACATATCACTATATTTACATTCAGTGTAATTTTCTTTATGAAATCCAATAGAAATCCATGACATTCAAATCTATATTATTTAATTTGATCTGGTTGTAACGCTGTATTTGATTGGATAAAAAAATATTTTATATTGTATAAAATGGTTTGCCTACGTCACAATGACTTGCGTCAAAAACGTATTAGTCCGCCTGACCTTACATTCAAATTTTGTACAAATTGAAGTCATTTTGTTGGAACAATAATTTTTTTCTAACATCAAATGAAGGAAAATTAAATTATAAGCAATGAATTTAATAGCTACCCATTTTATACGGTATAACGGCTTCACGGTTTATAAAGCGTAAACTGTCCCAACCCAGTTTATACCGAATAAAATGGGTAGCTATTAAATTCATTCCTTAAATAACACACGCTAAACCTTGTCACCGTGCGTTAGAATACACAGAAGGAACTATATGCATTTTCAATACTTTATGAACACCAAAATGTATATTGTTTGGCACAATTTTATTTTTAAAAAATTAACCCTGTTAAATTAAAGCAAAAATACAACAAAGGTGCATTTAAAAAATTAATTTGTCACTTTTTTCCCTTGCAATGTTCGTTTGCATTATTTAACTTTACTACAACCTCACAAATGTCACAAACGGCTCTTACGTCTATAAAACACACCAGGTTTGAAGGGCGCTAAATTCACATCAAAGATAACAGAAATAAACAATTATGAAGATGAAAAATTAAAGAATGTAAATATAAGCATTGAATTCATATTTTGGGATGTCTTCGGTCCTATAACACACCTGGCCATGCAGACAAATTATCATACCGCGCTAAACGCGCGGTATTCAATTTGTCGGCATGACCAGGTGTGTTATAGGACCGAAGACATCCCAAAATATGAATTCAATGCTTATGTTACCTCACTAACTCTATTCAATATTTTAATTTACAAAATCAGGATTATATAGCTGTATATGGTATTTAGGCCATTCCAAGTTTTTTCTCTGTTTATAGCGTCCACCCATCATTCAAAAACCTAGCTACCTATTTGCAAAAAACACGCAAGTCAAAATAATAAAACACATATTTCATAGTAATAAGAATGACGTTATTCAAAAGATATGATTTCATTTATCTATTTTTTATATAAAAGAAAGTTATTTTTTTCAGCAAAATCAAGGTATTAAATACTGAAACTATTCCATTATTGAAATATTATACAAATATTTAGAGATATTGCCGGAAATCGCAAATTTTGACCTTGATGATTAATTTTCGGTCTGTTTTTTCTGACATGGGTGTCAAAAACCAAGGTGCACGCGGATGCTAAACATAAAAAAACGTGGAATGGCCTTATAGCTCACCCAATGATCTAAATGAAAATGAGACGATAGCCCTCTGGACAGACTATGGTTTTTTAATAGCCAGTTCCTTTCTTTTTTGCTGTTGATTTCACTACTTGTTTTTCACCATCAAACAGTGTAATTAGTCAGTTTAATATAAATATGGATATATGGTATGGTATAATTGTAAAATTATTTTCATATATTGGTTAAGTATATGAATGCATGTTGATAACATATGCAATCAGCATTTACAGCAAATAAAAATTAGATGATTTTAGACACGTTAGATATAGACAAGTTTGGACTGTGCTTGGATTGATTGCATGATTTTAAATAGTCAAAGCTTGGGGTGGGGAGGGAGGGACTAAAGCATTAATGAAGTCATTTTAAGCTCTAAATTTGATCCTTAATTTTCATGATGAGTACAAATAAAGTACACTTTAAGTCACTGTTAAACTTTCTAACACCCCCCCCCCCCCCCCCCCCCCCCCCCCCCCCCACACACACACACACTTTTAAAAAAATAAATTTTATAAATAAATTAATATTGAAGAACATTTTAATTCTCAGCTATATATGTAAAACTTGTATGAGGTCCCTAGTGCTTTGTCTTTATCTTTCACAAATACCTCACTCTTATATAATGACAATAAGAATACAATTACTATATGTATATTAATTATAGCCACGAAATATATAAAAACTTCCTGAATGATTGTTAATGGAGACACAATTAGTGACCATTAAGCACTTTCAGTACTAATGTCTGAGTGCACTTTATCTTGGTTATATCACTACAATGAGTTCTAGATGTAGATACATGTATTATACTTATATATTTACTTAATCATAATGAAGTCAGAATGAAATCTATGTCAGAATTCAGAACTTACAATACAGTCACTTTTTCAATAAGTTTATTTGCAATGATTCAAATGTAAAACATAAAATAAACTAGCTGTTAATTACCCCGGTAATGTGGATTATATAAAGTATTTTACAGACAAATACATGCTAATTGTTTTCCATTACTTTCATCATGTTCATAAAAAAAAACTTTCATTTCAGAATAAACCTTTGTTTTGCATATGAATGAATTGTCATTTGTGTACAGCTAGCCTTGCACTTCATGTATCAATGAACAAAACTATTTGTCAATGAGATATTGAGATATATCACAGTGATCACAGGAATGTATATTAAGGCTGATAATTGTCATTGATAAACTGTATGGTTGAGGAAATTTTGAAAGAAAAATAATGATAATACTTGATATTTACAACATTTATATAAGCTTTAAACAAGCAGGAATTATTTTATCTGAAAATTATTTATCTGAGAATTCGCCTTTTTTCTTGTTGGAGAATTATAGTGTACCCTATACTTCCTTAGTTACTAAAAAAAAATATTATTGTACAGTAGTGATAATGAGACTAAGTAATGATAGTGCAGTTTGTTATGTTTATAAATGTCTCTTTTTTCTTATATTCTGTATTTATATCTATTTTAAAGGCTTTCTTTTTTTCTTTTTTTTTGGTATATTTGTATCTGTATTTGTGTGTTTTTGTTTTTTCAGTGATAGTTTTA